AGTGTGAAAGCAAGTGTATTTAGAAATATTAACAGTAATTTGATGCTGCCTTGGTATCTGATACTGTGTTTTATAAATGTAGCAGTCAGTATAGTTTAGCTGTTTAACCAAAAAGAAAAGAAAATGTCCATCAAAGGTAACCTGAGAAACACTAGTATAATCTAAAGTCAATAGATAATTATAAAAGTTTCAAGTTTTACCCTTTTTTTTCTACTAAATTGTCTTTGTGGTCTCCAGGGGTCACTGGGGATTGAACCCAGGGCCTCATGCATGCTAGACAAGCTATATATCCATAACCCTCTTTTTAGCTTTTATTTTGAGACAGTCACATTAAGTTGCCCCAGCTGACCTTGAACTCACTCTGTAGCCCAGGCAAGTCTTAAACTTGTGATCCTCCTGCTTCAGCCTCCTGATGGCTCAGATTACAGGTCAGTGCCGAAATGAAAATGCAGACAAGAGCTAGAAAGATTATTCTGGTGGACCACTAATGAAACAGAGGCAAGCAGAGGCTAAGTGCTATGGCTTAGTACAGAATGCTTCCCTAGCATGCTTGACACCCAGGACCAGGAGCCTGGGGGAAGGTCAGAGCCAGACATGGGACAACAGAGACCTAGAAACTTGAAGATGCTATAAGGATGGCTTTGAGATAGGAGGGAGGAACCCCAAACCAAAGACTCCAGATGGTCCTGGAAGCTAGAAGTGGCAAAGGAAAGAATTTTCCACTGGAACTTTTAGACAGAATGCAGGCACTGATGTTCAGCTTTGGCCTAGCTCAACAATGAAAGTCACTGTAGACTTTCCAGAAAAGAAATCTGTATGTTTGTTTGTCTGTTTGTTTGTTTGTTTGTTTGTTTTTTTAAAGCTGCTAGGCCCCTGGTAATTGTTTTTTTGGGTTGTTTTGGTTTTTTTCAAGACAGGGTTTCTTTGTGTAGATCTACCTGCCTCTGTCTCACAGGGGCTGGGATTAAAGCCATGCACCACCACGGCCTGGCTTGTGGTAATTTGTTATACCAGCAATAGAAAACTAATATACACATTTGCAAAAATCTATACGCTGAACAGTATATCTAAATCATTGATAAACCAGCATATGTAATCACAATCCTGATTAAATGACACTTTAGACCAGGCCTATAATCCCGGCCACTCAGGAGGCTGAGCCAAGAGATCAAAACTATAAGGCCAAGCTCTGTTACTAGCGAAACCGTTCCTCAAAAAGTAAAAAGAGTGGGAACTGGGGATGCAGCTCAGTGTTAGAGTGCTTACCTAGCGTGTGCAAAGGGCCAGACTTCAATAACCCTATAATTAGTGAGGAGTTAGCTAGTTAGCTATCACACGCACACACACCATCTTAGCCAATAAGACTACAGAAAATATACTAATGCTTTTGACTCGTTTACTTACTCACGTGTGTAATCATTGAAAAATTTCAAGCATTAAACCAATATTTTATCACCACCATCGATAAACTTTTGGCTTCACTAATGAATATTATTTGACAACATCAAAATTATTAAGACACTGTAGCAGCCTAATCTTGATTAATTTCCCTGATAATTTCTAAAGTTCTAAAGTAATTGTCAAAGTAGCTCCATTTTTTTCTTATTTGTACTTAGAATAAAATTTTCTAGATGAAATTCAGAAATATCCCAAGCCAAAAAAGAAAAAAAAAAAAGGTAAGCTGAATTGTGCAATGCCCGTTTGGGAGGCCTCTAAGAAGTATGCTGTGGTATTGTGAAATGCTTACTAGCAACCCAAGCTTCATCTGTGAAAAGGCTTAGCTGTTTGTGGAGCTCCTCGTCCATCTCTGTCAAAGAGCTTTGGATTTTCATTCCATATCCTTTTCGGTGGTTGACTTTCAGTAGTAAGAACCTCTGAATACAGTACGGTCTCTCACTCATGCCCCTAAAAGAAGGCCACTAGAGTTGCTTGTGCATCAGGTAAATGAAAGCTGTTAGGTTAATCACAGTGACCCCTGGGCCTCATCACACATGTATAGTCCCCTGCATTATTTCTATCCTGGAAACTTCATCTGTAGAGACTTGCCACTAGAAGTTTTCAGTACTACATTTTCCATTGTTTGGGGAACTTACTGCCTTTATGTAATCACTTTAAGCAACAGCAAACCAGGAAATGATCACAAAATTCAGATGAAGCAGCCATTGTCACTGCCTGGGTTAAATGGTTATTTGAAGACATGTAATTGAAAGTCTGCTCCTAAAATACGTCTGATGAGCTTGAGTGAGAAGCATAACTTTTTTCTCCCATTACTTTCAAGTCTTTTCTTATGTGGGATAAACAAATTCAGTTTCTTTTTACTGAAGCAATAATCATGCAGCATTCAATATGCAGAGCTTGGGCTGTAAGCGGTACAGCGCTTGTCTGGCATTCAAGGCCCCAGGTCAGTCCCTAATATGGCACACATAAATAAATAAATAGACAGATAAATAAATAAATAAATTGCAATAACTAGGAAACATTTAATGTTTCTCTACAATGCCCCCCTCTTTTATTAAAATAGTATTATTAACTTCCAGCGCAATAGATTCCATCTAACTAACTAAACACTAACTTCTAACATAAGAAATCTTGGTCAACTCTTTATGTAAACACAAGTTGTTTCAACAAAGGCTGTTAGGAATAACATTTTTCTAGTGTAACTATTCAACAATGCCCTCATTGAGTTATTATTAGTAATATGTATATGGTTTCAAAACTACAAATATAGAAATTTGTATAAATTTCTGAAAAATATGCTAATGTCTAAGTGTGCAGCCACAAACCGTGATTATAAGGATTTTTACTTTACAAAAAGTACTATGGCGTGTTTTGATACATTGAGGTATTCTATGAGGAAACTGACTTGGAGGAGAATGAATATGGCTTCAACCTGATTAATTATGGAGCCTGTAGTCTCAGTCATGGGGTCAGCTATAAAAGTACCAAAAAGAGAATCACTCAGGCAAGTACTGAGGCACACTGACTGAAGAGGGAGAGGAGATTATTAGCCAGGACCCTTCAGGAAAAATAAGGTAGTTTAGGAACAAATAGGAATAATCCTGTAGAGAAGACAAGAGATAGACTAGTCGACCTTGCAGATTCCCTGAGACACAAGTACTAGATCCAAAGCGCACATAGAGGAGTTGCCCTGGGGTGGGAGAGACATAGGTTTGGAACACAGAAAAGGAAGCCAGATGAGGATAGACAGGATGGGTCTGGAAATTTGATACCAGAAAATAGAAGGGCTTGCCATTGGAAGTTCTGAGATTTGCTAAGAAGACTGAGATCATCTACTGAATATGTGGAGAGGGAATAAAAATTTGCTTTCTTTAATGTTTAATAAAAATTAGCTAGCTGGTAGCAGTAATACTTTCTGCTTCCACTAGCTTTTGGCTAGTGCTCAATGTCATCAAGTAGGCAAGTGTGCTGTTTTGATATCATGCACAGCAAAACGGCTTTTCACACACTCTTGGGAACACATCAGGCACTGATTTGCATCAGCTATAATTTACATATTGATCTTTTCATTAAAGAATGACAGAAACTTCAACTGGGATAGGAATTTAGGCCTCACTTTGCATTTTCACTGTAGTATTTCCTTAATTTTATTTTTATGTATTAGTGTATGTGATATGTTGTGAATTCAGGTGTGTGCGTGTGCAAGCCATGAGACACTTGTAGATGTCAGAGACAACTTTTAGGTTCTCTCCTCTTGCCATAAGTTCTGGGATTGAATGCAGGTTGTCAGGGTTGCATCACAAGCACTCTCCTGATGAGACATCTTGCCTGCCTTACTATTTATGTCCATTTTTGTTTATTTTTCTGTGTGTATGTGTGTGTGTGTGTATGCACGCGTGTGCATGCGTGCATGCGCGGTCATGTAAGAAGGAGTAGTGTTTCTGTGCATGTGAGTGTAGGTGCTAGAGGAGAGTCAGATCTCCTAGAGCTGGATTACAGGTGATTGTAAGCTGCCCAGCATGTGTGCTGGGCTTCTCTACAAGAGCAGTATGTTGTCTGGAGACAGTCTTTTAACAGCAAGCCCTGGAATCAGTTAATCTCAAAGTTACGATAGTCGTTAGAGTTAGGTGTGCCTGTAAATGACAAAAAGCCCCAAATACAGTGCCGTAAGCAGGATAATTTTTTTTTAAAGATGGGTGGACCAAAGCAGGATTTCATCAAGTACCTAGGATAGTCTTGAACTTTCAATCCTCCTGCCTCAGCTTTCTGGGGGTGGAATCACAGAAGTGTCCCACCATACCCAGCTTCTTGCTCATGTTTTAGAGTCTTAAGTATGCAGTCAGGACTGGTATGGACATTCCTGTGCAGTCTCCAGCTCTTTGGTTCTTTCATAATGCCAGCTTTCAGTTTCACTGTCCAAGGTGATCCGTATTCCGAGTAGGAAGATGGAAGAATGCCTGGGAAGAGAGACCACAAGCGTGCTCCAAAAATTGGAACCTTGTGGAAGGTTCTCCAACTTCCACAGGACAGTTCTACTTCCATTTCAAAAGTTAAAGCTGGGATATATGGCAATGCTAACTCAAAAGATCCGCAAAGTGCTTTTTTAGGGTGGTCCTACGTCCAGCTAAAAGTTCTATCCCAGTGGAGGGGGAGGAGCAGATACTAGAGGCTGGCTAGCTATCTGCCACAGCCTCAGAGTGGCTTTCTTCTTGCTGAGCAACAGCAGACTCTAAACAGAGCTGATGCCAGCACTCGGCCTCAACATCCGAGAGAACGTGTATAAACAGGAAACCTGATGGACGGACGGCCTCTGCCACCACTGGCCACTGCTAGCCCTTTCTCTCATCCCTCCTGACAGAATGGTTTGTGTTTTCCAGAGTCTATTCCTTTGTTTCTGTGTGTGGATTTGATTAAAAAAAAAAAAAAAAAACTACCTTTCTTCACAAGCCCAACTGTAGTGTTTTCTGAACCTGGAGCAATAACAATCGGTTTAAGCTCCAAATAAAAATAAAGGGAAAATTAATTTATATCTATTTTTCTAGTATGCCAAGAGACTCAGAAATGGATTTGCAGGACTCAAGAAACCAAATACTAACTGTAGGAAAGAAAAAGCAGGATTTGTCTCCCCAGTGGCAGGCCCGAAGGGTAAGGCTTCTGTAATAAAAGACAGGCTAACAAGACTAAAACACACATTTATTTAATGTCAATTTTATGTTACATAAGATGTCTTCAGAAATTTGGAAATCTTTGTGTTTTTCTAGACTGCCATGCAGAAGTGTGACTGGTAAACCAAAGGTTTTAAAATACACTCATAAATTTGGGGCTGGGGACTCAGCAAGATCCATTTGTTCATATTTTTCTCTACATCTTCATACATTCCTTCCAGACACAGAAAAGATATCTCTGGGATGAGCATCTCAAAACCAGCCTTTAAAAAAAATTATTCACTTTATGTGTGTGGGTATTTTGCCTACCTGTATGTCTATGCACCACATGAGTGCATAGTGCCCATGGAGACCAAAAGAGGGCGCTGGATTCCCTGGAACAGTTGTGAACCACCATATGGGTGCTAGGAAGTGAGCCTAGTCCTCTGGGAAAGCAGCCAGTGCTCTTACCACTAAGCCACCTCTCCAGCCCAAGACAGACGTTAGTGTACCGTCAGAGAACTCTTTCATGGCCTGCTTTAGGGGAGCAAGGCAAGGGAGCCAGCCAGACTCACTGCTTTCTCAAATGCCAGAGTGCTGTTGATGCAGCATCCCTGAGCCCTGCCACTGTCACTGCGCTATCTCAGAAGGCTTTAGGTGTGGAACCCACTCTGTTAGCTAAGACAGAATATGTCAACTGAATTCCCAAAGAAAGCATATTCAACTACGGTCTGGAGAGATGGCTCAGCCATTAACTGCATATTCTGCTCTTGCAGAGGACCAGAGTTAGGTTCCCAGCACCCACATCAGGCAGCTCAGAACTGGCTACAACCCCAGATCCAAGAGGATTTGATGCTTCTGGACTCTATGGGCACATGTACATGGTTAAAAATAAAATAAATCTCTCTCTTGTTTAAGTGAATTCATCTGATTTTAACCAAGCTTGAGATGAACTACCACACTCTCTTTTTTATTTTTTAAATTTTTATTTACTTTTTTGAGAATTTCATACAGTATATTTTATCATAATTTTCCTGTTGCGCATCTTCTCCCAGATCTTCCTTCAACTTCATGCTCTTTCTCTCTCTGAAAAACAAAAGAAAAAGGAAACTCAAAAATACAGTTGGAGTTTGCTTTGTGTTAGTCAACTACTCCTGAGCATGGGGCCTGCCCAGGAGCGATGGTTGATAACAGTGTCACTCCACTGAAGAACTCTGGTTTGCCCATCTCCCAGAAGCCATCAATTTTCAAATAGTTTCTTGGACCAGGCTGGGACTTTGCCCCCAGGTCCCCCCACCCACGGTGGTGTTTGGTCTGGCTTTAACTTCTGCATGCTGCCACAGCCTGTGAGTCCATCAGTATGTTGGTCCTGATGTGTCTAGGAAATGCTATTTCCTTCAGTCATCCACCACGTGGGGCTCTTGCAGTCTTTCTGCCCCGATTCCCTGAGCCTTGAGTGTGATAAAGATGTCCATTCAGGGCTGAGCACTCCAAAGTCTCTTTTTAAATTCTGCATGTTGTCCAGCTGTGGGTCTCTAAGCCATCACAATCTTAATAGAATCTCTTTGTATTTGACTTTATTGTACAAAATAATTGGGTGAAATACTATTTGTTTGTTTGTTAGATTTATTTATTTTATTAATGAATATTTTTAAATTAAAAAAATTAACGCCGGGCGGTGGTGGTGCACGCCTTTAATCCCAGCACTTGGGAGGCAGAGGCAGGCGGATCTTTGTGAGTTCGAGGACAGCCTGGTCTACAGAGCGAGATCCAGGAAAGGCGCAAAGCTGCACAGAGAAACCTTGTCTCGAAAAACCTAAAAAAAAAAAAAAAATTAAATTAACCAGACAGTGGTGGTGCACATCTTTAATACCAGCACTAGGGAGGCAGAGGCAGGAGGATCTCTGTGAGTTAAAGGCCAGCCTGGTTGGCAGAGTGAGTTCCAGGAGAGCCAGGGCTACACAGAGAAACCCTGTTTGGGAAAAAGATTATTTAATTTATTATATCAGTGAGCATTCTTCTTGCATGTGTATATGTGCATCATGTATATACCTTGTGCTAGATCCCGTGGAACTGGAATTACAGATGCCTGTGAACCACCAGGTGGTGGGTATTGAACCAGGTCCTTTGTAAATGCAACAAGTGCTCTAAACTACTGAGCCATTGACCCAACCCCCAAGACAATGTTTGTTTAAAAAATGTTTAAATAGAAATTATAAATTTTTGAATATTCATTTATTTATTGGGGGTGTACATGCCATGGCGTGCTTGTGGAGGTCAAAGGACAACTTAAGGGGAGTTGGTTCTTTCTTTCCACCCGGTGGGTTCTGGGAATTGGCTAGCTTAGTGACAAGCATCTTTTCCTATTAAACCACCTGCTGGCCCCAAAGTTTTTATATAAAAAACTAAACCCATGTCTGCTAGTGAAGGATGGATTAGGCTTACAGGAAACTCAAAGAAGAGTCTTGTGATGTAAAGTATTTTCAGAGGACAAAATTGAAGGAGAGAGTTAAAACATTTTATTAGTGCCATATTTTAGACACTGGACCATTTTTCGGTTGCTTTTCATTTTCTTGTTCCCTCCCGACACTCTGGCTCTGACTGTAGTAGAAGCTCTAGGGAGGCTACTGGGCACCTTTGGGATGCAGACTTCGAAGCAGGCTTTTCTCTGGCTCTTCTTGTCCCTCCTGCACTACAAGGCAGAGTGCAACTTCACACAGTCATTTAAGGTTTTCTTGAAAGTGCTTCTAAACTGGCCTAGAGCCTTTTGATTTAAACTGTCATGTATGAAGAATACAGAATATATGTGTCTCTGTTGAAGGTGTTAGTACATTAAAGCCTTCAATATGTCCCTACCATAGTGTGGGACATCCAACCCAGGGCTTCTTACATGCTAGACAAGCACTCTCCACTGAGCTGCACTCCCAGCCCCATGTTGCCATTCCAAAATAATAATTAAACCTGAACCATGGCTGTTGAGATGGCTACTAGCTAGCCTGACAACCTGAGTTCCCTCCCTAGACACTGAAAGGATGATAATCGGCACTGGTGGCGGTGCTGGTTGTGGCGTGGAAAGGTCACAGTCACAACAGAACCCAGTATCAGTACCCAGAGCTTTAGTAGGAGGAAAAGGCGGGAGAGAGGGGACCAGGCCTGGTGAGAGAGAAAGATGGTGGGGTGGGGGAAGAGGGGAGCAGAGCAGAGCAGGGATCAGAGAGAGAGGATGGGGTCTGCATCCGGGTTTTAAGGCGCAGATTGCATGACCACGCCGCGCTGCGTAGTCGCCAGCGCCCCAGATGACATAAGATGCAAGACCCCGAGCTGCACATGTGCAGGAGTGAGGGCAGTGTCTATTTGCAACCCTAAGTATACATGTACACATACGCACACAAAAAGACACAGACATCTTTATTTTTATTCGATTTAAAATGTGAACATAAAACATTCTTACACAAAAAAAATTTGACATAAAGTGAAAAGTGTCTTTTCCTTAATATTACTATGAATTTAGTAAGTCTTTCCAAAATGCCTTCTAAAAATTGTGTACTAATTTGAATTCCAATATTCATAAACATAGTTACAAATAAATATGCTGAATAACTTGTTAGTAATCTGCCCAGAGATTTTGCATATTTGTTGGTTATTATTCTAATTTGGCTTGAAGCCTTCAGAATCTTAATCTTCCAGTTTTATAAGCCTGGAAACAAGAAATAAACTGTAAGTGCTCAGTAGTAACTCTGTGTGTGCTAGAATTGGATTTAAGCCTACTACTGTGTGGGATTGTAATCTAACCACGGACCTATATTTTAAGCCAACTTATACAACTGTTAGTGTATTTGCTGCTGAAGTGGACACTAAGGGTAGTTAGTTTTTTTTTTGTTGTTGTTGTTTTCCGGAGTGAAGCCTACAGAAAAAATGTTAGGAATGATTGGCATATTGTGAAATTGGTGAGCATAAATATCAGCCACTATTCTGGTTACCTAATTGGTTCTCTGACTTGGAACAGAAGTTATATTCATGACCATTGTGGTATCCTTTCTCAAGTGGAACTCATTAGCTAACAGTTATGGAGACTAATAAAAAAAAATCCAGTAACAGAAGGAGTGGCAGTCTGTGTGATTCCTTTAGAGATTCTGAGAGATGCTTCTTCCTCAGTCTCTCCAAAACCCCTGTGGTACACAAGGAGCCATTTTGCCGCAGTTTTGTATGTTATTACTTAAGAGACAAAAATGATCCTCTGCTAGAGAGAATTCTGATTCTGGAAGACTCAGTCATGACCTCAACCATGTCAGTCACTCTGTAGAGATCCAGAGATGAAGCCTATGTAAGGCTTAAAGTCACCCCCTGCTCCCCATAAAAGTACAGAGTGTCTCTCCACATCCCTGAGGCTATCAAATCCTGCCCATCTTTCTCCCGTTAAGAGGCTCCCTCCCTGCTGCTACTACCTCTTATGTTCACACTTGGCCTTTTCAAGGCTGCCTTAGGGTGGGGATTTATAGTCCAGGGGCACCTTTGAGCAAGAAAAATGGATATTCTCCTCTCGAACTAAATTACAACCCTGTTCTTGTAACAGCTGTAGAATGAGGTTGTCAAATTCTCATTACATCTAATTCTCTAGGCCTAAACCTACAAGACCAGAAAAGTATTTATTCAACTGATGTTCATAGTTTTCTGCAAGGTTGTCAGTGGATGAAAGAGAAAATGTTAGGTCAGGGTCTAAAAGGCTTAAAGTAAATCTTGTTATTTGGAGAATATCCAGATAACAGTCTGAAAAATTCTTTGAAAATGAAATTTGAGATGGGATGGGTGGGGTTTCTGTGTCTGTGGATATGTAAAAGGCCAGGCAGGGACTGGGCCTTCCATTTCAGCCCTTGGTTTTGTGCATTTGAATGAGAAAGTAGCTTGACTGGTAGAATTGAGAATAGAGACAGAGTAGACTAAGGTGTAATGAGCAGATGCAAACTTGACCTTGTCTAGAAGGCCCAGAGGAGGGGAAGACTG